GTATAATGTTACAAAAGCTTTTTATTTCAGATAAATACTGATCTTTGGATCTTTCTATTCATCAAAGAATCCTGGAAAAATTTACTCAACTGTTTTAAATATTGATAATCAGCAAATCAGCATATTAGAATGATTGCTGAAGGATCATGTGACACTGAAGACTGGAGTGTTGGCTGCTGAAAATTCAGCATTGTATCAAGGAATTAATTGCATTTTAAAATATATTAAAAGAGAAAACAATTGTAATAATATTTCAGAATAGTACTGTTTTTTACTGTGTTTTTGATTAAATAAATACAGCCTAAGATGAGCATAAGAGACGTCTTTCTATATCTATATATATATGCACACAGTTGGTATTTATTTATTTATTTACTTACTTATTTTCTTGGTAACACTTTACAATAAGGTTCATTAGTTAAACATTAGTTAATGTATAAACTAACATGAACTAACCATGAGCAATACATTTGTTACTGTATTTACTAATCTTCACTAACGTTAGTTAATAAAAATACAGATGGTCATTGTTAGTTCATGTTAGTTCACAGGGCATTAACTAATGTTAACAAGATTTTAATAATGTATTAGTAAATGTTTAAATTAACATAAACAAAGATTAATAAACGCTGTATAAGTGCAGTTCATTATTAGTTCATGTTACCTAATGTAGCTAACTAATGAACCTTATTGTAAAGTGTTACCATTTTCTTTTTTATGCTTTTGAAAGTAGTCTAAATATTATCTCATTCCAAAGCCCATTACGATTCATATGTTTCATTGACGGAGCAAAGCCACAGGTTAATTCACCACAACATCACAACTAATGTTTTGCACAAGTGTGCAAAGTACATAACCTTCACTTCAACGTTACTGCATTTCTCCTAGTTTCACAGACACTGAAGGCTTAATATCACATTTTGATGGTTGGGGTTTCCAAACAAATCTAGCCTTTTCCCCCCTCTTTCTCCACACATACACCTCTCTTATTTTCTTTCCTTGATTTCTCTTTCTTTACCAGTTCTGTCAGTTCCCCAGCCAATAAAACAGAGGAGGCTTTCTGCATGGCTGCACACTGAGGTAATGAAAGCCTGTGATGGAGATAGCTAGAGGACTGGAGCACGCGTGCCATACACAGGGGAGGATTCAGAGACAGCTTCACAGCACAAATGACGCACAATGTCTTTTCTGTTCTAAACAACAGCCAATGTACGCTGCAGCTAATGTAGCTAAATATTAGCTCTGTTCCAAAAACCTAGTATACTGCCTACATTGACAGCTCCCTTATTAGGCAGCATACTAACCAAAATGGAGCCACATGAGTGACTGGATTTGAACGTTCACAATTAATTACAATAGTGTTTGAGTTTAGCATGTTGCTATGCTAATAGCGCAATTACTCTAGTGGACATAACAATACATAGCACATATAAACATTTAGTGAAAAATAAAATATAAAAACATACTAACTGAAATAGAACCTTATGAGTGACACAAGTAAAATTTCTAAATTATTCGATTAATAATTGATGTTAGCATGCTGCTACGCTAGTAAAACAATTATTTAAGTAATAGCACATTTAATATATATGTATACACTGAACAAAATTATAAAAGCAATGCTTTTGTTTTTGCCCCCATTTTTCATGAGCTGAACTCAAAGATCTAAGACTTTTTCTATGTACACAAAAGACAAATATTGTTCACAAATCATAAACATTTTCTGAAATGTAACCTCTTAAGTAACTAATTTAGAACATTCACAATTCTTTCCAATAGAGTTTAATCTAAACATGTTTTTATGCTAATAGCATAATACTCTAGTAAACTAAATACAGAGCACATATAGCCTTATGAAAATTAATCATGGTTTTACTATAGTAAAAGTGAAGTAGCAATTTTTTTGGCATATTGTATACAGTTTTACTACAAATAACATGCTTAAACTATAGTTAGCATTGCAAAACTATGGTTAATTTGTGGTTACCATGGTTTAACTACAGTAACCATGTTTTTTTTTGTAGTAAAACCATGGTTAATTTTCGTAAGGGTAAAAAGTTAAATATAAAAAAATAGAAGCATACTAACTGAAATGGAACCTTCTAAGTGACTAAACTAGAACATTTAATATTAATTCCAATAGAGTTTGAACATAGCATGTTGCTATGCTAATAAAGCAATATTATAGTAAACATAAAAATAAAGCTACTGTAAAAATTGGCCAAATAAAACATAAAAGCTTACTAACTGAAATGGAACCTCACAAGTGACAGAATTAGAATGTTTACAAATCATTCCAATAAATAATGACGCTAGCATATTGCTATGCTAACAGCACTGTAGTAAGCATAACAATACACAGCCCATATAAATATTTGATGATATATAAAATATGAAAACATACTATCCGAACTGGATTGTCATCAGTGACTGAATTAGAACGTCCAAAATTCTTTCCAAAAGAGTTTGATGTTAGCATGTTGCTACGCTAATAACGCAATAATCAAGCTGCAGCGCATATAAACATTGGGTAAAATATAAAACATAAAACATACTCTCTGAAACAGAACATTTTGAGTGACTAAACTAGGATGTTTACCATTAATTCTAATAGAGTTTGAAGATAGCATGTTGCTATGCTAATAGCGCAATATTCATAGATATGTATAGATGCCCCATTCGACCGCTCCAAGCATGTAGACACGTCTGCCATCTTGGAACGGTCAACTTGACGTCACTCACCATACTATGGGTTCGCCGCAGACGTAGCTGTACAGGATTGTGGCATCTTCAAATATTCATTGGTTACACTGCAAAAAAATGCTTTTCTTACTTAGATTTTTTTTACTTGTTTCCAACCAAAATATCTAAAAATTCTTAAACAAGACAAAACATCTAAGTAAGAAAAGCATTTTTTGCAGTGTACTATGGTGAATGATGTCAAGTTGACCATTACAATATGGCGGACGGCTTATGTATAGCGGCCCATAGAAACAGTTGCTAATGAGGCATCGACGTATACATATCTATGCCAATATTCTAGTAAGCATAATACACAGCATATAGACAAATATTGGGTGAAATATAAAATCATACTAACTGAAATGGAACCTTCGGACTCACTGAATTAGAACATTCAAAATCATTCCAGCAGAGTTGATGTTAGCGTGTTGCTATGCTAAATGTGTAATAAAAAGCATAACAACACACCGTGCATGTAAATATTGGGTGAAATCTGAAATATAACTGTTTTGCATCTATACAGAATGCAATTCAGTTGACTTTTTTCTTGAACTGTTCACAATAATTTTTGATGATTTATTTTCTCTAGATTTGTTGCAATGCATTCTGGGATTGCGTTAAATGCAAGGATACATGCTATGCTTAAAATGCTAGGTAGGCAGCGCAATGGGGTTACGGACAGAGCAGTTTTCACACGCAAATCTTCATTTATTAAAAAAGCAAAAACAAATCTGAGTTTGAGAAAACATCCTGTCAGTCATGAAGCAAATATGTCCGTCTGATCCCGTACAATGCTAAATTCACATCAATTTTACGTGAATTTGTGTTTACAACGCTCAGCTTTGCGAATCTCAATTGATGGAGGCCACAACAACTCTCTGTTCTCGCTGGAACAGAGCAGCTAATATATTCCTGAGTGGTTTTTATCCATCAACGCTCAAGTGTTTTGTCGAGACTGTAGATTTAATAAGGCGAGTGAGCGATTTAATGTAATGTAATGTAATGTTTCTCTCAAGGTTTAATGTAGCTCATAATAAACTTAGTTCCCCAGTCTTTCTTTTCGATTTAATTGATAAATCAAACAGATAAACGGCTCTACTGTGCACAGAAGGGGCTTACGTGTAAACTTTGAGCACAAAGTCTTTCTCCTCTTTGAGTTCAGAGATGGTCTGAAGGACGTCGCTCATGGCCAGCACTGCGCATCCGTACGGCCGGCGGTACTGGATGTGAGGGGGGCCTTTCTTCGAGTCGTTTAACAACATCCGCCCTGAACAAAGAAGCATTATTAATCACTGTCAGAAGAGGACGTGTACATTCTACCGTCTACATGATTACACAAATCCTGTCCAGTAGACAATTAGGCATCGACTTGAATGCAAGGATCTGCAAATGATAGGTTTTAGCTTGTTAGCAAAGGTAGAGCAACATTTCCCCGTGAATCAGTGGCCATTATACTGCTGTTACATTAATGTTTGCGCCAATTTATTGGAAAATTATATCACTTTGCTGTAGCTGGAAAATATAACTCAAACTATAGTATTTCAATGTTTTTTATCCTTCTGACTGTATTTAACATATTTGTATATTTTGCTCTTTTTTGTGTTGTATATTAAAGTCATTGTTGAATTAGATAAAATAGTCAAATATATACAAAAATAGTTTTGTATATAAAATGCATTCAACGATCAAGAACATTTTTTTTTATGAAGAAAATGTTTAAATATCTAGTCAAATATGACAATAGAATAATAAATCATTTAGAATAAGTTATTCTTATTAAAGACTACTTTCATACACCTATTTTATTATTTTTATATGGACCAATATAATAAAATATATAAATAAAAAAAGGATAAACAAAATCAAATGGAATAGTTTTGTCTCATTCCCAGTCGCCCGTCCCTTTATAAACTGGAATGGAGCTTGCTGTGCCACACTTATGTAAGAGCGCTAGAGATGCAGTTGCTGGCAGAAATGCAATGCCTTGTGGCAACGTTTGGCTCCAAATGAAGGAAATGGACAGAAGATGAGACAGAAATGGAAAGAGGCAAAATGAGACGGGATACTCACCCGTCCTGATGACCTGGGACACAATGTACAGATCTCTCTTCATGTCTTTGTTGCTTAAGTCCTGTGGGAAAAAAAGAGAAGCTACTTAGTGTCTTTTTTTCCCCCCGAAATGAGTATTTTCATATGTAGTCCTGTATTTTTTAGCCGTAGCAATAACAGTTGTTGGTCCCACCGTAAAGAGGGCGCAGAGACGGTCGACCTTCTCTGGGTTTTTTGGGCCACCATTTTTGTTGAGTCTCACCATAAACTTCTCACTGGAAGAAGAAGAAGAAGAAGAAGAAGAAGAAGAAGAAGAAGAAAAAAAGAGTTTGAGTTCACATGAGAATGTTGTCATTTAAAACGTTCATCATTTGGACAAGAAAATACAGCAAAATATTTTGCTTCAGACCCAGATTTTACTTTTAGACATCAATTGGTTTTCATTTAAAAATGAACAACATTATCCTAAGTGGTGAAGTGTGTAATTTCTGTGTCAATAGTGTCCCAAAATTGTCACGGAATTTTTATGCAACTAAATCAATCATCAATTTGTGAAGTCAAAAATAAAAATAGATATAAAAAGCACTTTTATTTAATCAAAACAGCTGTACTTAAAACATTAATTCATGCTAAAAATTTATTTAAACATCAAAATAATTTATATATATATAAATATATATATATATATATATATATATATATATATATATATAAATCACAATAATTTGATAAATCTGACAAAATAATAAATCACCTTTAATTTGGCAAATGTAATTCTGAACTAAATTTTATTAATGCCTGAAATGCTATTTAACCATATATAAAATATATAAATTATATTGCTAAGATTTTGTTAAATATAAATAAAACATAAGTAATTAAATGTAATTTTTTTTAAATTCATTAATGTTTATAAATGTAGCTAAATTTAGCTGAAGTTTTTCTTAAAATAATAAAATAAAATAAAACAAAATAAAATACACCCTGTAAAGTTCAGACATATTAATTGCAGTATTTGTTTTTTTGGAATTTTTTATTTTTATTTGAAATAATAACATTACAAGTGTTGGATGACAGCATAAATACCAAGAAAAAGAAAAAAAAAAGAAAAAAGAACAAAACACACAAAGGACACAAGTACAGTAAGTAATTAATACTTCAGGGTAACTTAAAAGAAATAAAATACAAATAAACCCCGGGAGCAAATTACCACACAGAATAAGGCATCGTCAATTTAAAACAATTCTAATTGTAGTATTTTTAATACTTTAACTTTTAATCCTTTAAGTTTTAAAAAGGTCACAAATGCTTCCATTTATTTATATTAAGCTCTATTGTATAACCTCTATAAATAAATAAATAAATATTTATTTACTTACATTTTTATTTTCAAATTAATAAAATGATAATTGATTCCTTCATTTTATGGGGGGAAAAAAGCATGAACTTTATTTTAAACAAACAAACAAACAAATAATGTATCTATTTGTTATTTAAAAATAAATACAAAATACAAACAATTTATTTATTTACATATTTATTTAAATTTTCTGTTTTTGAATTAATAAACTGATAATTGGTTCCTTCATTTTATGGGAAAATAAGCAGCATGAACTTTCTTCTTTTGAATAAATACATTTTATTTATTTATTTAACTGGAAAAAAAACAAATAAAGTACTTTGTTTACACCTTTATTTTTGAATTAATGCATTTTGATTTCTTAATTTTAAGGAAAGGAGAGAAGCATGAATATTTTGCAAAACACCGCTCTTTTGATATAAAAACTTATTTTGTGTTTAATAGAAGAAAGGAAGCCAAATTGAATTTTGAACAACATAAGTGTGAGCAAATAATTACACAATATTTTTTTTTCTCTCTTTCTACATATCAAATTAGTTTTTTTTCCCAAATGTTCCACACAGTGAAATATTGAAATGCTGGTGCAATGTAATCACTGAAAAAAAAATAAAAAATAAATTAGGCCCTAATGACTTTCTCATTGCCAGCAAACTCTGAAATGTTATTTTTGAGAGCTTAATTAGATATTAATTCATGATTTCAAGCCAGTTCTGCTTGCTGAGAAATCTACACATGCCACATCCGATCCACAGGAGCCAGTCCTCATGCATATCAAACACAAACCAAACCTCACTTCACAAAATATCTCTGCTGCTGGCACTAGAATCAAGACTTCAGTTTGTTGGTAGCGATTCAGGCTTTATGAGGGAACATGCACAACAAATGTGTATATATGTGTGTATATATATAAATATATTGGGCAAATATTCTACATCGTGTTTGAGTGCAGTGATTAAGCATTGCAAACGATTACTGACAACAGCAAATCAAAGGCATTTGAACGAGTCTATAGTCTAAACACTGGAGTCCAGTCAGCGAGAAAGTGTGTAAAATCACAGACAACTTCACTGACTCTAATAGAATGGCTGTTGATGTGTTGCTCGCTTTCCATGTATAAATTATGCAAAATTTGAATAACAGTTTTGTTTTTCACGCTGCTGAGAGAGCCAATGTGAAGTTTAGGCACTGGAATTACTGATGGAGAAAACAGCATACAATTAACTCAGGAACACAGAGTTAGTTTGTATTAGATGTCTAGCAATATGTCCTTTACAATGGTATTTTATTGTATGAAAAAAAACAACAACTTTATTTTATTTTATAACTATTTTTATGATACAAAACTGAGGTTGCTAACTCCTATTGCAAAAAATATAGAATGAATAAATACGTTTTTACATTTTATTTATTTATTTTTTACAACATATTTAATTATAAAACCTGTGCTACCTATTGTAAATAACTAAATAATTAATAAATCTATTTTATTTTAGTTATTACTTTAAGTTTATACACAATCAACATTGCATTACCAAATGTTGTAAGTAAATAAATCAATACAACATATTTCATTATAAAAACCCTGCTCGTACAGCGGAAAAGAAAAGAAAAGAAACAATCAACCAACCAAACAAATTAATGAATGAATAACGAACGAACTAACTAACAAACTAACTAACTAACTCAATTTAATATTATTATTATTAGGGCCATGTATCATTCAAAAATTTTCGATACCGATACCTTGACTTTGATACCGGTTACTGAAAGATACTTTTTTTTATACCAATTTTATGAAATCAATTTGAACAAGATTACATTATCTAAAAAAAACAAAACTTTGGTTATACAAACTCAAAGACTCATCTCCTGAGCCACTGCACAACGGAACAAAATGTAACCAACACAATAAATCAGTGCAAATAGTTTTAATAAAGCTGAAATAGTCTTCAGTTTACACATCTGTTAGGCTACATTTACACTAGTTAGTGTTCGTTTTAAAACGCATAGCTCAGACAGAATCATGATTTCTATGTATTTTCCACTGATTTACTGATGAGCATTAGCAGCTTCCAGCGCTGTCTGCTTGTGTTCTCTCTTCCATGATCGCTGCTCTGACTCAGAGGTAATAACATATTTCATTTCAGCAGCATTACATGGCCAAAACACACATTAGACGGCAATCGGAATTTATTACAAACACTCGATGGTGGTTTAAAGTGAGTTTTGAGTAAAAGCGGAATATAAATCTTATTTATTGTCTTATGTAGCATGATGCTACAGTTTGCATGAATGGTCACATAACGCGCGCTTTCGGCTGTGTAACGTTAGTATGAACGGACATCTGCATATGATCGGAACTCCACGCAGCTCCCGTGAATGACTGAATGACCGGTCTGTCGCTTGTCGCTTGTCGCTTGTCGGAGATAGTGGAAAGCCGGCTTGAAACACAGTGGAAACGCCAGTATGACGAGGATCGTTTTCATTTTAAAACAAACGCACCAGTGTAAATGTAGCCTAAAGGCCCATTCACACCAAGCACGATAACTATAAAGATAACGATAACGATATAGTTCTAAAAATCGTTCTCAATATTAAAGAATAGCATAGTTCATACCACAACTATAACGATAACGATACAGAGGAACGATATCGTTGTGATCACTTTCAAAACGATTTTTTTCCAGCTGATGAACGATAAAACACTGACAGCCAATCAGAATCCATCCTGCTGTAACAAGCTCAGAATTTAAAGCGGCAGACGCGCGTGCGCTTAGAATAAACAGACGATATCGTTCGCTGGTGCGGACGCTAATATCATTATCTTTATAGTTATCTTTATAGTTATCGTTCTTAGTGTGAACGGGCTTTTACATCTAAGGGGGCTGGGACGCATTCGCACTACAGCCTCACGTGTGCGCCACATCTCCGAGTGTAACCGGTGTTAACTAGTAGGTGTGTTCGACTTGACGCGGACTGACTGTGCAGACCGATCGGTGTATTACAGTACCACAAGAGCTATAGAGAGCAGACTGCTCCGTGCGCTTTCGAATCACTCTCGCGGATGTTAAACACTGATCGATCTGCACCGTGTCGCTTCTAGTCGAACACACCTAGTGCTGCAGACTTATTGGCTCACTGACGCTGATGAGATTAAGCCCTTAGGTATCGAAATTTGGTACCGAACGACGAGACGTTTTTCGATACTCGATGGTATCGAGGCAATTCAGTCGGTGCCTAAAAAGTATCAAACTCGATACCCAGCCCTAATTATTATTATTATTATTTTCTTGTTTCTTCTTACAATAGCACACAACCAATGTTGCATTACAAATACCTTGCTAATTCCCACGGCGAAAATCACGTGCTCATCACGTGTGTCTGTCCTGAAGGAACGCCTCGATCCAGAGCAACCAATCAGGTCGCCAGAAACCAGCAACCCTCTTCCCCGGAGGAGACGCTGACAGGTATTCATTAAACTCCTCCAACATCAGCCGTGCAATTATTCCCATTCAAAGCACTCGCCGATTGTTCAGATCCTATTGTGTAGCGCTCGCTAGCTCACGGTAATAACATACTTAGCTTTTGGAGTGTGTAAAGGCTGATAGGCTTTCGGGTTGATGTATGATCTTTATATCATAAAGAAACATGTTCAGGGAATGGATTAAAATTAAAACAGCCGAGGGTTTCTGCACGAGAAATTAACTGCTGGGAATCTGTGGCTAAATGCAATTAACAAGTTCAAATATTAAAGGCACCTTCAAAGCTGAATGATTCCTCTGTGTTTGAATAGAGACTAAAGCAGCTGTCATGCATTTTAATCAATCACTGAAGAACTCCACGGCTTTGTAAGATAATGGCAGATTCACACTGACTGACAATATGGGCTGCAGCTATTTCAGAACGAAATGATTG